TTTCCAGTATACAAATCAAAAATTGTCCATTGAGGTTTAAAAATATTCAAGCCCCCAGATACCGATTGCGAGCTTTTTACCGAAAATATCGGTCACCCAGTCAGATACATTATTGAAATTTGAAAAGCATTTTTTCCAGCTTTGATCCTTGCAAGTTGCGAGAGTATAAAATGGTCGGTTTCACCCGAACTTAGCCCTTCTTTAGTTGTTTATTTTTATTTTTTCATGATTCAGCGCCAAACTAGACCCTCGATACCTCTATATACAATTAATACTAACTCAAGGAATCAGTTGTTGGAAATTAAGAATAAAACAAAACTAAAATTGTCGTACGAAATCCTTTCAAAGTCCAAGTTCATTGAAAGTCTTCAGAAGACCGTGCTGTGGAAGTTGCGAACAAATACTAATTTTCAGCCTCGTTAACAATGCGTACAAATAGCGACAAAACAGCAAGTAAAAGCAAAAATAACAATAGCGCAAATTACTTGCGACACCTAGCAGAACCGAAAAAGTAAATTGCAAAAGCAAAACCAACAACACACCCCGATGCGAACGCACACGACAGTGGCATATTTAGAATTCCACTCACGTGAGGCCAACCAAGCTCAACGGAGCGGTGAAGGAACGCCTTCGCCGATGGTTAGGCGTCCGCGGTAGCCACCCACCATTGGCCGCCACTTGAGCGAATCTGCAGCAACAACAACAACAAATGCGGTGTACAATATTGTATAGGAGCAGTGGAAGAGAATAACAAAAAACGGGGCACAAAAAATCTGGGGCAAAAGGCGAAAAGCAAATGCCAGACGACACACCAGTAGAAAGCCAAAAGGTGTAAAATTCCTGCGCCTTTGCTGCTGCTAAACGTAGGTTAGCGCATACACGCGCGATTGGGATATTTGCTGGGCAAATGTGTCGCAGTATGCGTGTGTGCGTTGGTCGATTTGGCGAATTTTCCACGAGGCCGTAAAGTCAAGTAGCTCCCTGGCATCTTTTTGCCTCAATCCGCATGCGAACCCGTCAGCGCTCTGAAAGGGTTCTTTCACGCACACGCGCCATAAACACTCACACACATCCGCCCACTTGTAAGCCTACGCATACTGTCACAAAAGCTCTGCTCTCCTACAAATATGAATGAATAAATAAACTTATTCATTATGGCACTTTGACATTTAAAATGGTAGCGCAATAATCGTTGAATTGGCCACTTTAAAAATGCCAAACGACAACAACAGCAGCAACATAAAGAGTCACATTCAACAGTTTGTTCACCAACAGACTCAAAGTGCAGTGTGAATGGCAAGCTGTGCATGCGATTACATAAATAAAAGCGGTGGCAGCAAGCAATGACTGAATTCATAAAGAGATTGAATGGAACGCGAGAGTGAAAACGGAACTCATTACATTATGCCATTTGACTTCAAACAACAAAAACAACACTTGAATTGCAATGACACGCCCGCCTTAGCTGTTGTTTGTAAATATTTTTTCCAGAAATAAAAGTTGAGGGGAAGTAATGAGTGTTTATTTTGCAATGGTTGACAAGTGCAGAACCGCAAAAAGGATAAGTTTAATGAGACGAGCGCAACTGTTCTAAAGCGTTGCTTACATGTATAATTTTAGAAAAGTTCCATAATATTTACATACATATTGATAATTTTCTCTTGACATGTCTTACATGTTAGCTGTGGTTACAAGGTTCGTGAATACTTTTAAAATATAACGAACTTAATAATGTATACATATATTCTATGATACAGTAATTTGATAATAATAAACTAGTTTCATTTACACAATTATTTTACTACAATATTACTGATAGGATACTAAATTTGGGCAATTTCATCCATATTTGTGGGAACTAGAGAAAACTTAAATACAATGAAATTTTATAAAACTGGAACACTTTTCGTTGCAGTTTTAGGCATTCTTTCTGTCAGATAAAATAAAATATGACCGGAAAGGTCGTAAATTATTCTATCATAATTATATGTGTCTTTCCAGTTTTTTGGCTCAGTTTGCACTAATTTTAAAGATAAATAATAAAGAAAATATTTCTGAATAAGTAAGTTTTGTTCTAAACAAGTGAATATATGTTTGGTGATATTCAAGTGAATATCGAAAACTAGTAGCTATTTTAATAATATCATTTAAATGATTAATAATCAATTATTTGTACTATGGCTAACATGATTGTGATGAAGGTCATTTATTTCCCCTTTTATTTCCTAATTTTGAGGCCAACAAATTACTAAACAAACTTCAAAACTGACTTCCCTTAATTTTCCACCACCAAAAATAGCAACTGTCAGTTTGAAAGTATTATAAGAATTTATATATTATTTTAAATACACGCAGAAAGTGAAATACCGTTTTATTTCTAAACTCAAGATTTTTCGTCAAATATCTTTAAACATATGGCATGTAAAGAGAAATCTGAGAAACTCGAAAACGCAAGGCGGCTGGAAATGTTAATAGCGTTTATGTTCGTGATATTGAAACAGCCAAACACGCGCAGTTGAACTCATGGATCGAGTTTCCATCTGTGCATCGCTGATGAATCGCAACAACTGGTGATAAAAAGTGGATCACTTGCGGCAAGGTGAACTGAAAACGGTCGTGGTCGAATCATGATGAGCTGTCGCTCAATTATAATCGACGGTGAGGAAGGTGTTGCTGTGTGTTTGATTAGATTGGCAGGGAATCATCTATTACTGAGAATCCATAGCTGCTCCTTAACTCAAAGCTCGGACCTGTATTGTCAATATTTTGACCGTGTCTAGGAAGAAATCGCCCAGTATCAGCCAGCAGCTCCGGAAGCTTGGTTGAGAGGTTCATAAGCATCTGGACCTGGCAACATTTGAAGTTCTCTTCTAATGATTAAAAAAAATACTCGTCACTGTGCCTTATTTTGATTCTTACTTATTTCAAGTTAATCCGCTCCCGTTTTGTCGTACTTACTTAGGCTCCACATCAACTGTGCTGTCATTACTAACGGTTAAAATCCAGTAAAAATACCCAATTACTACCCAGACGAGTACGTTACAATTTTTTTTTTTTACTAATAATTTTACAGAATTTTAAAGAAATTTTAAACTTGAAAATTTTGTAATAACAGTATGAAGACTTTTCGGGATTTTGACTATTGATTAATTTTCTTGAAAAGGCTATCAGAAAGAGCATTCACAAATTTCCGTTATGTAGCACGTTGTGACAGTAACTTTCCGTAATCCGTTTCTTTTTTTTTATGTTTTGTATCCATATTTTAGTATTAATATTCCGTTCTGGAGAAGGGGGCAGCTTTGATTGATTGTATGCTCAGCTCAGTTTAGCAATATCGGTTAAGCTAAGTTCTTAGTCCAGCATTTATACATACGTACATTCAAAAGTATGAAAATTTGTTAAAGTTGTCAAAGTTACTTAACCTTTCTAAGTACTAGCAAGCTAAGTCCTACACAGCGTAGAAATAACGGAATCTTAGAAATATATATATATATTATTTAACTGTGCTGGTACTTTTAAATGTGAAGTATATTAAGAAAACGAGGGTCTGAGAATTGATCAGAGGTGGATAAGTTTGGAATCATTAATCATATCCTTTTCGATGAGCTTTATTCTGAGTAATGTGCGAGTTTATGCACCGAATTGGATTTCGAATTTAATATTTATAGCGCAAACAAAATTGTCTAGATGTAAATCTCTATCAATGCCAATAAATGTTTTTGACTCATATTCACAAGATATGTAATATATATAATTATTTACATTTTTAAGCAATAGCTATTAACGCTTATTAGGTTTTAATATGCGTGAATCCATAAAAAGTATAAGTATTTCTGAAAATGTGAAGGGAAGAACTTCCAAATAAGAGCTCTTCAGGACTACAACCAAATACAAAAACTAAACCAAAATTACAATAGCAACTTATATATGCACACGCGCATAACTTGTATACAAATCGGTATTAGATGCGAATAGGCATGCATTTTCAAAGGTTTTCCGCTTCCCACAACACTTTGCAACTTATATGAGGAAGCGAAGAAAGCATGGAGCTGCAATCAAAGTATTCGCACATGTGAGTTTTCCTTTGTTAGCGCGCGCACACACACACACTGCTCTTTAGTAAAAGTTTCACTACTAAATGTAACCAAATATCAAATAAGAAATTTAAATTTCCACAAAATGTTAAACAATTGCGAAATTTGAAATACGAAAGGCAAAATTAGTGAACGCGGCGGTGAAATTTAGAGAAATGCCGCAGCCTCAAGCAAATAAGTTTACGCAAATGAACGGGAGTGTGCGGGCCTCCAAGGAAGCCTTCACTTCTTTAGCAAACTTCGGCTGTCTTTCGATGCTGTTGCAGCATCAAATCGCGTAAATATTGTCGCTGTGTAAACAACAATCAAACTAACTACTTGTTAAAGTTTTAGTAAACAAACAAACAAGCAAGCAAATAAACAAACAAGCTGGCAACTTAGTAAACGAACGACTGTTCAAGTCGTTGCGCTGAACGGCGTATTACGTTAGGCAAGGGGTAGCTCCAGGGAGTGTCATATTTGAATGACATCCGGGCGGTGACTGTTAGACAACAAAGCCAACAGCTGTTGTACAATTGCTGCTTCAACACCTACCAAAAGCGTACTATAAGCCCATACATGACGCACACACGTGTGCAGTTGCGCATGTGTGTGCGTGTAAAATGGTAACATACATTTAAGCATGCCAGACATTGCCGACAACAGCGAACTACAAAAGATGCAATTTTAAGTGAAAACAAGAAATCAACACGCCAACAATTCCAGTAGCAATACAAACGTAGATAGCTGCAATAAGCACATGCACACCACATACATGTCACAAGCGCGTTTATGTGTGAGTGTTTGTAATAGTGGAACACTACGACTGAAGGGCGTACTGGCTTTGCAGTTGTCAACGCAACGTCAAACTGACTATTAGCACTAGCAACATCAACAAACGCAATAGCTGCAGCGATAAGCGCAAAAATGAAGAATCAGCTTACAAAGCGTAAAAGATATATTTGCGGTCTACTTGGTAGCTATTAAAATTGTGCACGAATCTATTGTAGCTTCCTTAAAATAATGAACATCCAATTTTCAAATAAAATCAGATAATGATATTCTGATATAATGCGTGGTTTTTAAAGGTATACAACTTTTAGTTAAAATAACATTTTATTATTTTTAAAACAAGACTTGATTTTGAACGTTCAGTTTATAGTGGTTCGATCAGAAAATAGTCTGCAGATGTTTTAGCATTGCTTTAAAAAATAGTCTGTGTCAAATCTCGTGTTGTCATATATAAAAGTTTTTCATAGAGAAAAGGATGAGCGCAAAATTTTAGAGCGATATCCCATAAGTTGAGGTCGCTTGTATACCATGGCCATGGCTAAAAGAACTCAGATCGTCACATTGTTATATATTTTATAGGGTTTCGGACGTTTCCTTGTGGATGTTATAAACTTCGGGGCAAAATTAAGTTAATTAGGGCACAAAGATATATTAATAAAAGTACTCTAAAAATTATTATCTATGCCCCATCTGTTAATTCGAGGATAATCAGTAACTTCAGCCGTATAACTCCTCACATACTTTTGTTATTTTATTTTTTACTCATATAAAACAGTAAAGATTTTACCAACATGTGTTTATAATTCCATAAATCCAAATGAATATACAGGTGTAAAAAAATGTATTCAAAGTATTGACCATTGCTTTTTTCACATTTTGACCACCTTTCTGGCAGTTTGGGGATTATACGATGAAAACAAATTAATTTGCCGTGTCTTCTGGCCCATTCTGGTGGCTTTTCGATCAATGTATATCTCAACTTAATCATTTGTTCTCTGTAGCGATTAGTATTAACAGTTTCTCCAGATTTTAGAAGCTCATGATACACCACACTCTTCTGATCCCACCAAACACAGAGCATTGCCTTCTTACCGAATCGATCTGCTTTTGCAGTCGATGTTGATGGATGATTTTCTCAGTTTGGGATTCTTAAAATAAATCCATTTTTCATCGCCAGTGTCTATTCGATGCAAAACGGATTTTCCTTCGTGTCTTTGAAGCAAAATTTCAGAAGTGTTTTTCAGTTTTTCCATTTGTCTTTCATTCAATTCAGGTGGCACCAATTTTCCACACTGTTTGATCTTTCCCATAGCTCTCAACATTTAACATGGTTGCCATTTGTTTTTGACTCAAAGTATCATCTTCATGCAATATAGCTTGCAGTTCGGCGTCTTCGAACTTCCCATTTTTATACCAAGTGTGGTATTCCAGGTATTATTGGTTGTGTTGATGGCACGCACATTAAAATTATCGCTCCCCACAAAGAATTGCAGCATTTATACTACAACAGAAAAGGATTATTCAGCATTAATGCTATGATTGTAAGTTTACATATTTGTATATGTAATATTAATTTATGATTGTAAATGTTGAAATGTGCTTATTCTAGGTTCTAAAATGAAAATACGATATATAAGTTCGAAAAATCCGGGGATGATTCCATTGAAAGCACATTTGCATTGACAGCAACATCTTAATGGGCTGCGCAATACTTGGCTACTTGGTATGTAACTAATTAGAAAACATCTATGTATTTCCCTTTAAATAATATTAATAAATATCGGCTAAAGCTAATGATGGATATGCTTTTAAGCTATACTTAATGACGACGTTCAGAAATTCTGAGGAAGGATTTCAACGAAGTTTTTACAACAAGCAAAATGTTAGAGGAAGAAATATCGATGAGCGAACAATTAGCGTTCTAAAAAATAGGTTTCGGTGCTTGTTACAGGCAAGAGCTCTTCACTATACTCCACAAAAAAATATACAAATTATAAAAATGTGTGCAGCTTTGCGCAACCTTTGCTTGGAATCTGTTGGCAACTCAGAAGCAGAACATATTAGAAATGAAATTTTAAGATATTTATAGAAAACAAAATTGGAATATATTAAAATTTAGTTGCTCCAGATTTTATTTTAATAAAGTTGTAATTATTTTTAGTTTCTTACATATGTACGAGTATTAATTTCTTTGATTAAATAAATACATTCAAGTTAAAACAGTCTTGTTAAATTCATCACATACAAAAAACATACTTACTCACTTCTCTTAGAGTTAAAAAGATCTTAATTCTAATAGTAATAAACAATTCTTTAACAACATCATTTGAATTCCTTCATGGCTTGAACTAGAATAAAATTAAATTATAAAGTTACGTTCTTGGCAACTTTTTTTCTTCATCTCCAGAAGCGCAACCTTCAGTTGTAGCTTTGCTTTTCTATCCTTCTGGCTTTGAAGAATTTTATTTTTAAAATTTCCAGTACTTGTTTTTTTAACTGCAACAGTTCTTCTGTCGTCTTCTCTCTTAATTGATGCAACTACTTATACATTCTTGTGTTTCTGTAACACTTTTTTTAATATCCTTAACATTCGCAATTAGCTCTACATAAAGAAATTTCTGGGCAGTGGTATGTGATTCTAACTATACATCTCTGCTTTGAAGCACTTTTTAGTTTCCGTGAACAACCGATTTTATTTTCGCGAACTGTATAGCTCTTGTCGTCGTCACTTCTTTCCAAGTAATTAATTGGTTGTTGGTTATTATCTGGTAGTACTATCTCTATAGAATCCAAACGCTATTAACTAGTTATATCCAGCCCGAATTCTGCTCCCGGTGGTCCTAAGCAATTAAGTTCCAGCGTAAACTCTTCCCATTCTTTTGCCGCCTGAACCTTTGAGCAAATGCCTTTAGCAAATTAGATATTTTCTTCCATCAGTGAAACCAAAGAAAAAAATCAATTAATTTAGTACTTACTTACCAAAAACTAAAAAACAAAAGCAAAAAACTTACATTTTTAGCAATTTTCTCACACTTTGTAATTTATAACGAGCATTTCGACAAGGTTTCATGGTCATAATAGCAATTTACCATTCGATTTTCAATCTTCGATAACCAGCAAAGATTGCTTCTTATGTGTAAGTATTTCGCCATTTTTACATACACAGCTCTTTCATCAATGAATCTCTTTTCTTTTTCAAACACGCTTTGGTCGCTATACGCCTTCTTTTTGAGATATCGACCTGAAATCTTGCACACGTCCTTTTCGCTTCAGGAAACAAGATATCAAACCACTATAGCATATATCCGCCGATGCATTCAAACATACCGATAAAAATCTAGTCAAAGAACTTTTTATGCCCTTTTACGCGTTAAAAACGGTGGAAAGAGTAATAGAAATAAACAAAAGAAAAAAATTAACCCTAGAAAAGCTTCGAGTTTCGCAGTATGCGTATTCTAAAGAAAAATAGGAGATAAGGCAAGCTACTTGGGACTAATTTTACACAAGAAGCTTTTATGGAAACTTAACTTAGACCCTAGGGTAAAGAAAGCAACCACAGCACTTTACACATGTAAAAGGATGATGGGGCCCAAATTGGGATTAACGCTTGGGTAACTCATGGTCACTACACGGCAGTTTTATTGTTGATTATTACTTAAGGCATGTTGATATGGTGGCCAATTATGGGAAAGAAATACGCGCCTTACCGCGGGGAGTATACAAAGAGCAGCTAGTATATACTACAGTGGTGCTCTTAGAACAACGCCAAGTCAGGCATTAAACGATATTTTACATTCTGACTTGTCCTGAAAGCAGATAGCAGGGAAATCAGCTCTTAAACTAAGGGAATCTTCCCTATTAGTCCTGTCTAATAAGGGGCATTCCAAGGTACTTACAAAGTTTCCGTTTGTACCCAATAGCACAGATTTTCGAAATCCTAAAGAATTAAATTTTAATTCGGTCTCCAATATTGCCTTCCGTTCCGGAGAAGATTAGGAAAGGGATAAGCATATGTACAGTTGGGTCCAAGGTAGTGTCTTTTAAAAAAATTGGCAACAAGGAAAACATTTATTTATACAGATACCGATAGACAGCTACTAAAGTCTTTTAGAATTTTATAAAATATAGTTATAAATGCATTGATCTCTTAGTGGATTTAACATCCTATTTCATGATAAACCTGCCATGGGATCCAGGACATAGTGATATCCCTGTAAATTGTAAAGCAGATGAACTAGCCAGAACAGGAAGCACCCTGCAATTAGATTCCGAAAAAGAAGAAATTTTTATGCCTATGGTCACTTGTAGATATTTAGTTGACAAACTTGTTATAAATATAGCTGGGTCTCAGTCCCTGCTTAAATAATGCCTACTATTAAAATTCAAAAGGAATGACATAAAAACTCTAATAGGAGTGTTAACAGTTCACTGTCTATTTGGCGGACATTCCAGCAGACTGGGGCTCTATACAATGACAATTGTAGAAGTTGGCAAGAGGAAATAGGAAGGTCAAGAGGTATAGGAGAAAAATCGCAACTATCGGTCGAGGGTTTCTTGACGATGTTTCGGAGGTTGCACAGATAAAACTTTTTGTAGTGATGACCTTCAGAGGTTACATAATAAAGTGAGGGGATTTTAGTTCCGGTGGATATATATATATATGTATGTATAGCACAATGAGTCTTCTAAAGGCCTAGGTGCGTCTGATATCTACTCTACCTACCTACATACCCTTTTATGCGATAAGGAACACACTTGTAAAAGGTACTATAGCTTGGTGCAGCCGAAGTTAACATTTTTCCTGTTTTTGATAATTTTTTTAAAAATAAAAATATTATACGAATCCACGATAGTTCATGCTTTCTCAGCAATTACAATATCTAAAGGGTTTGGATTGCTCCCTCCGAAAGAACTATTCCAATAACCAATTTATGTTGATAACCTTGAGAAGTATATAAAATCTGGCATATCATTGCAAAGAAATCAAGCAGCGTTTTAATTAGGTATTTTCAAAAGATCATAATGCAAAAATTTTCGCCTTATGTCGTTCAATCCCTTAAGAAAGAGACTTTGAGCCAAAAAAACAACATAAACTGAGTGATTTTCTACTTGTAATGCGATTTTTGTTGGTTTCCTTTATAATTTATTCGGATTTATTAATACTTCTTTAAAGAGAAAACAACACATTTTTGCTTTTTGAATTTTACAGATTCTATATACACTTGCTTTAAGTTTTTATACCTCTCTGAAAAATATAAGAAGAATCAGCACATAACCTTGTTAACATCTGCTCATTAGAATCTTCAAGGTAATAATGAAGAAACGAATATTAGTAACAGTAAAAAGTACATGCCACAATAATATACTCACATGTACAGCTCGACATATACTCACGTTTTACTTGCAAACAATGAAAATCCGCACCAAAGACAAATACAAAAGCAACAAGCAATCCAAACAATGTTAATTAAGCGCACGAAACGCAACATTGAATAGATAAAATCTTAAAAGCATGTAAAAATTCTCCACATGCGCTAAGAAAAGGGCGTAGGAAACTAATGAAGAGAAGTGGCGATGATATTTATACGGTTCACATGGTTGAGTTTAGCCGTTTTTACCCCATTGAAAAATTAGTACAATTGTTGCAAATTATTTAAACACAAACATGCGTACATCCAAAGCAAGCATGAAACAATGAACACAAAATGTAGCATACTTTTGTGGGCACCCAGGCGTAAAGAATGCGGAATACAGGTAGGAGGACAGCATTAAATGGTGTATAAATTAGCGGAGAACAATGAAGAAATTTCATGGTTACAGAGCGCATACGTTTTACGAAAAGCCTTTACATCTAGGCGCATTTGTATGGATACAAAAACAATGACTCACGAGCAAATGTGGATGTCGCCGCAAATGTGTGCTATAAGGTGTGTGCTCTACTTATTAAGCAGTGACACTTTAATTTGCTGGAAAAATCTAGCAACTTGATATTCTTATAGAATCTGTATATATAGAATTATACCCAAGCGCAATATCTAAGATTATTCCTTTGAACATACGATCCACCAAATTCTCTACATTGTCATAGGAAATTAGAACTTGCATCTATCTTCACCCTAACACCACATTATATCTTTATGTTAGATTAAACGGTCATTCGGCAAAATAATTCTTCAGTACCGGTATGAGTCTAGATAAATAATTATGTTCCGATTATGAACGAACTATATATTTTAGATAAATTACTTAACGTATGATATGACAAGAGTTAATACTCCATTGCATACGAACTGGGCTCCTCCTTACTTTTTCACGGATACCATTATATTTATTCTTGTTTATATACACAGAAATATGTATATGTTGGGAATAATTTTAAAACATCTTAATATAAAGAAAGGCATAAGGATTTCTTTCAGCTAAAAGAAAAGGAATTTGTTCCAAAATCTTAATTAGAGATAAACCTGTTTCATTCAGCGAGATCTACAATGCAAGCAGGCCTCGAGTAAACAACGTGTTTTAATTCATGAAATAGTTATAATGATATAATTATATATGTAGATAATAAAGTCCACTTAACATAATTTTTATATTTTACTGCTTTTCACAGTCTTAAAATTGGATGACTTTTCAACGCCCTAAGTTCGTATAACCTCTTACTATACAGTTGTCTGTTGACCTGCCGCTGAACTTAAAAGATCGTAATCTAAAATTTGAACTCTGGGTATTCTCTCTATATATTATAAAGTAATCGATTGTTGGCCGGAGATGAGATAATTTTAAAATATGAGTGGACTTCTAGGGTTCTAGTAGTAGAGCTCCTAGTATCGGATGACGTATTCTGTCGATTTTACTCCTATTACTACTTATAATGAGGCATCTTTTCGCTTGCAACATAATATCTCTACTAGCACACCTGTTCAAAATTCCGGCCGGATACTTTCGCCGCCATCAACACAGGTGTGCGAGTGTGCACTGAAAACTGTGAAAGTCTTCATCTTAATTAAATAACAACGGTACGCCAGCAATGAGTTTCGTGCACAGCTCATCTAATTATTCACTTAAGACTTACGTACACATACTTCTCCTGCGCCTTTTTTATTTAATTAAAAATATACTCACAACATAACGTCTGCTAGAATTGTACCGTGCATATGGATATGTGCGACAATGAGCGGAAGCGAATTAAATATGTCTAAATGGTAAAACGTGTACAGTTATACACACAGCACACAGACTGCTACCACATAATATGTGTGTATGTAAGTGTATTGGAGGCTTGCAGATGTTTGGCATTGGCGTACATCCTCTTGCAGATGAAAACAGCGACGTTGGCGATGTGGTACATAAAAATGTCTAAATATATTCAACGGCGCCAACGCCATGCTCGACTGTCGCGCTATCGTTGGCCTATTTCGATGGAGCATACATTTGTTACAAACTATTGTAAAGCCATAAACGATCACACACCCATACATAAACTATACGTGTGTGCCATTGTTAGCGCCTCTTTGTTCGCAATTCAGTTGTTTTTGGCGTTCGCAGCGTTTTACCTTGACTTGTTTGGCTAGCAATTAGTTAGAACGCCTACACTCATACATGCATGCTCTCTGCAAATATATGCTCATACATAAAT